AAAAAAAAAAAAAAAAAAAAAAAAAAAAAAAAAAACGCTCAGTAGTAAGTACAATTTGTAAGTACGTAATCGACCGCTACATAAGTACAATTAATCTAAAGTTTAGGTCAGTCATTAGTGATGACAAAAACGATGATGGTGTTGATGATGATAATGATGAGGACGATGATCATCGAGTATACCGGCTGTACATGAGTTTAAGCGGAAAAATTAATCGCTAGGTAGCTAAAGAGGAGCTGTAAATAGTGGCGGTAATGGTAGCGGTCGCGGTTGTGGTGGTTAAGGAAGAGGATAGTGAGAAGGTTGACAACAGAGGAAAAGATATAAGCAAAGATGTGGGTAACAGAGAGGTGGTGGTGAAAGACGAGTAAGGTAAAAGCCAAAAGATCGGATTGTTGTTCCGCCGACCGGCAGGAAACGAAGATGGACGTTGCCGAATGTTACGAGAGGAGGAGAGAGAGAGAGGAAGGTAGGCAGACAGAGAGACAGAGGCAGGGGAAAGTAAAGAGAACTGTATGAAGACAGGGAACAACGGAGAAGTTTCACTTCCAATCTCCTTTGGTCAACTCAATGTTTTCCGTTGTCTTTTAAGGGGATAGACAAAAATAGTTTTCCGTTTTTTCTCTCTATCATTTTTTTTCCAAGCCACAAGTTCAGCTATCTAAAATAAACATTTTAACTACAGGCAGTTAGCAAAAAGAAAAAAGGTAGCACACACACAAACACGCACTCAAACAAACATCTAAAAAAATGAGGAAAAATTACTGATTTTTTTCTTTTTAGTTGTTAAGGGTAATAGTGTTTTAAATGAATTTAACTCCTTGTTTTTTTTATCCTCTTTTTTCTGTCTTTTTCCTTTTTGTAATTGTTGTTGTTGTCGTTGTTGAAATTTCGATCTGCTTTAGCAATAAAGTTAACTGACAATAAAGACCAGTAAACCAAATACAATACAAGAAGAATAAAGTGCAAAAAAAAAAAGCGACAAAAGAAGCAACATTCAAATATTAATAAAATACAAATAATTGAACAACAGCAATTACTAAAAGCAATAATATGCAAAAATGTATTATAAACCATACATTTTAATAATAAAATATAAACTTGGCTAGCAGACCCATAATGTCAGTTAAACTATACACTTCGTCAACCAAGTCTGATCAATTGCACTAAACCCCCTAACAGCCATTAACCACTGCACTTCCAGCAGTCGGTCAAACTACAAGGCATCTCTATTATCACCACCGATCAACCAACCCATCGATTACAGATTAACACTATCATTTGCAACAACGTTCAGTAACTACCGCTAAAAAAGAAAAAAAACTGCTAAAGCAGACAACAAAAAAATGCAACTTAACTGATATGAAAGACGAAGATAAAAATTTAACCGAAAATTACAGGTTGTCCAGTTAACAGAGTTCAGCTTTTGAGACATCAGGAAATCCAAAATGAAGCAAAAGAGAAGACAAATCTATTTTTTTAAAGCAGCAAAATTGACATAAATCGCAGACAGCGACGAACTGAAAAAACAATAAGACAAAAAAAAAAAGAACCAAAAACCAACAAAGTTTTGTTTTTTTTTTCAAACAGAAAATTTTCGGCATATCTATAGAATACAGTATGGTTCAAAAGACAAAATGAAAAAAAACGGAAAAGTCAATTCAGCTACAAAATAATTAATCGATTTTCTCAGTCAAATTAATTGTTGAAGAGATACGAAAAACAACATGATGACAAAAAATCAAAATTCATTAAAGAAGAATAGACTTGCTTTTCATTATTTTC